ATAGGCAATACTAGAAAATATATTTAGTAATATTTAGTTAAAAATGTTTATTGCAATATGAGACGGCGATGGCGTATATAGAGACACCATTTAACGTTTAAAAATACGTTAACTTTTAAAAACAATACAATATTTTGCAACAATGTAACTATTTTTATATCTGCCAAATTTTTAATGCTAGGTTTTTATATGAATAGATTTTCTGAGAATGCAATTGGTAAGTTCATGCAGATTCATTGTAAATGTAACGTTACTTTGGGCTTTGCCTTTAGGTAGTACTTGCATTTTTCGTTAATTTTCAAATTAAGTAAGTTTTGTATTGTAACAATAGGTAATGTACTTAGTTTTAATTATGATCATTGTCTGCAACTGTTCAAGAAACTGAAAATCATTACGGTATGTTACTTAGTGTGTTCCAAGTGTGTATCATATAGATTCGAACATAAATCGCAATTTAAGACCAATTAGGACCTTAACTGTAACATGCAAACCCGACACGGTCACAATTTCATCGTTCCAGGATGTACCACAACACTATTCTTGAGGAATCCTTCTGGTACTATGATTTATTGTAATATTTATGTTGTTGGTCCAATTTATACTGTCTATACTATTTTTTACATTTTATTTTACTTATGTACAGTCGTGGTTAAAAGTAATGTCCTGCCTCAATAAATAAATAAATAATGAATTGTAAAGGTGCAACCATGCTGTAAATAAAACAGTAGGTCTGAATTTTTATTGTAGAAAGACATAATGGGTAATTGAAAAAAATGACGGTTTGAGAGTATACTTTGTCAAGTAACACCTTCTTTTTGTTGCAGATCAGTATTCTATTAGTCAGTTTTAACTCCACCATCAATAAGATCTTGTCGGGGGCTACCACATTCCCCTTGTCGGACCCACTTTCGACCTCCAGTTCACCCGTAATTCGCGTTTGAAGTTTTGAGTCCACCATTAGTAAGATCTTGTCGAGGGCTACCATATTCCCTTTGTCGGTAC